TTTTTGTTTCTTATTTCTTTTAATGCATCTAAAATGAGGAAGGCTTGTAGATTTTCACTAGACCAGAAAGATCAGGTTGTAAATTATTGTGGAGAGTAAGAAGAAACACAGTTTCACTTCAGATATTGTTCTGGTATTAATTTGGATGGAGAGTTTGTTCATGTCTTCCTCTATTTCCATCCTAAGATGAGGGTGTGGGAAGAAAAGAAAGAAAGAAGTAAAAGGGGAAAAGTAAACCTGAATTGTTTTACTGCAAAGTTGTATAAGGATAAAGAGCAGCAAACATTCTGTTACAAGATGGATATACTATTTCTTGAAATTGGAGGGAAAAATACTTGACACTTGAAATGTGAAATGTTCAAGGTCTTGTACAAATATTAATGAAGTACTGTGGATTACATCCTAAGACAAGTGGTGGAGTACTTGATCAGTTGTTTAAAAATCGTTTGTGTGTGTACCTTGAATTACGGTGGTAGGATAAAAAAATGTTTTGTTAGCTGGTTAGTAGATTAGGACTTGAGCCACTCAGTGTTCACTTGAGTAGAGTACAACCCATTTGGTTTAATGAGGTGTAAAAGTCAGGGAGAAATGTGTATTCTGTTCAGCTTGCTGCAATATATAACTGCACTTAGTGGTTCTTAAGACAAATATGTTTAGCTTTCAGGGCTTTCTGTAGTAGCTGCTGCCAGTTTCTCATGGAGGTGTTCCAAGAGAAAGACTCTTCTAAGCGTATGGAGCTAATCTTTGATTTTTACAGTATCAGTTCTATATTTTCCACAATGCAACACTTCAATGAATAAGTCTTGAAAAGCCCATCTTCCTTGGTGGTTTAAAACCTAAGACATACAATAAGCTAAACAAGTGTTACTTTATGAGATTTCTTATCTTGCCTTCATAAATAGCACCAAGACTTTTGAGTACGGTTAAAATACTGCCGATAATCTCACTTACTAGAAATGTTTATGAAACAACTCCGATAGCAAAGTCACTAAGTAAAACTGAATGCAAGTTTCACAGGAATACTTCTGTATTTGAAGTTACCATATGCTTGCTTCAGGAAAATACTTATCCAATTTTTTGGTCTCACGGTGGGCATTTTGCTGTGTTTGATCAGTTTTATATATAGTACGGTGGCTATTGTATTAAAAAAACCCCTTGAAAAATCATGTATTGTTTTTGCAAGTGTTCTTTTTCTCCTTTTGTTTACAAGATATTGTACTATATATGGTGGCATTTAGAAGGTAAGTATTAAGTCACTGTACACTATATGGCAATGAAAGCTTTGGTGCTATTTGCTTTAAATAAGCACTGAAGAACTTAGAGTTTTCATGAAGAGCAAGTGAGAAGCTTCTGATGCAAGTCAGCAGAGTAGCCAAGACTTTTGATGCATAACAAAGCAGTGCTGTATGTTCTTTTTCCAGCACAGCATTACTAAGTTGGTATGTGACAGTAGCCTTATTATTTCATGCTGGCTCAGCAGATGTTTTTCTGTATGGCTTTTTCGTGCTGGGGAGCTAAGGCCTCAAACCTGGGTCTTGTCAACATTGTGAACCAGCAGCCTTTGTACAGAAAAACTTTTCCCCCAAGGTGTGAGATGTCATGCTCCTAGGCAGCAGATCCAGCGAAGGAGGGGCTGAGTTGGAATTGCCTGTATTCAAACCAGCTTGAAACCTTTCACAAAAAAATGTAAGTTAAATCACTTGAGACCTGATAGTTCTTCAGCGTCCTTCCTAAAATTCCTCTCAAGGATGGTGAGAATTGAACCTAGCTGGGGAAAAAATCAAGAGGCATGTCAGCATGGAGAGCAGGCTCTGCCAGGCACATGAGGGCAGGTGGTGGAGCAGTAATGGTGCTGGTAGAGTTTTGCATGTGTGTCTGGAATTAAAAAATCCAGTCAGTGTTATGTAACTGCTGCGGACATAACTAGGATCTTATTTAACCCGTCAGCTGTGATTGTGGTGTAATTGTGTTTTGTTTCTGTAAGAAGACTGCAGCCTAATGTTAGTGTGATATTAATGCTACTTGCCCTTGGCTAGAATAGTGATAACCATATTCAACTTTCCACATTTTTATCTCAACATACTGACTCAAAGTCTGCATACTAGGAAAGTTAGGGACTTAATGGTTGACTAGCAGTAATTCAGTAGAGGAAAGCATGGTAGAATTGTGGGTAATCATTTTGAGAGAGATTAATTTTCCATGTTTAAATATACCTTTAGGAAAAGTATTGTGCTAAGGGTATACTCAGCCTCTCAGAGGCATCTTGCTTTTTAAAATGCCTTAACGAAATTGTAGAAACATTCATGGCTCATGAAGTAACATTTTTCTTTTAAAAAAATAAATACTTACACGCATGTGCATGAAGTTCATATTCAGTTGTGTTCATGCTGTTAATTGAAAGGCAGGGGAAGGAAAAAGGGAAACAGGACACATGATACGTACTGCTGATGAGCTGACTAAATATAAAGTCACAGTAGCAGGAAAGTAATCAAGTAGCTAGTCACAGACATTGCTGATGTCAGGCGAAAAGTATATTTTGCCCTCTGACACTTAAGTCTGTGCTTGCTCTGTGTTACTCATGCATGTTATTCATCATTAAATAATGTTATCCATTATTTCAGCAACAAAACCAGTAATGTAGAAGGCAAAGTAGTTACCAGTGCTGTTTTCTTTCAGAAGACAAGTACAGTTATCTAGGTGACTTGGTCTCTTCTGGTACACTAGTCAGTCTTGCATTGCACACTGGTAGTGTTGGAAATGTTATGTAGCATTCTTAAGCTTCAAAAATGAACAGGAGCAGTTGGGCACAGAGATCTGTATTGTAGTCCAGGTACCAAGATTATTAGGGAAGGTGCTTTTTACCCTTTAAACTACAAAAGTGGCGCTAAATGAGTAGTCTGAAGGAGAAGGCAGCTTCTGAGTTTAAGGAAATTACCTTGTCATCAAAACTGAACTGAACTGTTGCTGCTGTGACAAAATTAGCTACCAGCTGATTCCACACGGAATGGTTTAAGTTTGTGTTTTGTGTAAGTGCTTGTTTCTTTTGTTGATGTCTTTGTCTTTTCCAGTTGGTTAAATGTCTTGTCTTTGACAGCATTTAAAAACAGGAGGAAGTCGTATCAGGTGTATCTTAAAGTTAATGTAGACTCTCTCCCAGAGCAAATACTCTTTTATATGGAGAAGGAAGAGTATAGTGAACGCAGAGATTCTGGAAGTGGTTTATGGATGTTTTGGCAACTATTTAAATTGAGGTATTAAAGCTTATGTACATATTGACTGTATATGGAGTTTTGAGGAGTTAAAACTATCCATTAAGTACATGTTGTTAATATACAATCAACTCCAGAGCGAATATCTTCAGAAGTACCACTCCCTTAATTCTTTTAGAAGGGCAACTTTGATTTGTGCGCTCATTTTTCTTCTAAACTATTCCTTTTGCGCTGTTGGGAAATCTCATTGGACAAATTGAATCTTCTCTTATATAGAATAAAATAATGTGTGGTGCTAGTAGATGTAATCTAATGTTGCATCCAATAATTATGGTAAGAGCTACTTCTAACAATAGGTACAGGACCTCTTTAAAAAGAGAAGTGAGAAGGGAAGAGCTTCTGTTTGTGGAAGAGCCATGCCCCTGCAAACAATGTAAAACTTTGTGTTGAATATTCATGATAGGTTTGAGTACCTGTTTACTATATACAGAAGCTAAATAATAGATTAAGTAGACTGTTTCCTTGCTTTCATTCTGAAAACCTTGAATGACCTATGTGGCACTAGTGTATTGTATTATCTTGTATTCTCTGAGATTTGGTTGGCATGATTGAAGCTTTGTAGTTAATTAGACTGTTTTTTCAAGTACAAAAGAGCTACGAAATTGTAGCTGTTTCTTAGATGGTAGCTGTACATAAGCCACCAAATATAAATTATGCATAAATCCATTCTGTACTGCTGTGGGTCTTAAATATTGGATAAGCTTTTTATTACTTTTACATCACTGGTAGCCTTTCAAAGTTTTTTCATGGATTCCACGTAACATTCTGTGGTTAATTTTTTTTTTTCTGGTGGTTGTTCTAAGTTGTTCTGGTGACTTGTCACCTCCACGTGACTACAATGTTGCTGAGATGTCTTGCCTGCCTTCAGAAAATATTCTTGAGTCAAGAAAACAATTATTGAGAAATCTGTATGAAAAGAATACATCTTTACTGGTTTTGGTGTGGTGTTATGTTATCTATTACCACATCACTTTTGAAGATGCTTTGGAATTTAATGCTTAATTTCTAGTAATGTGACTTTAAAAGCTGAATATTTTAAAGGGTTCGCAATATAATAAGCATCTCTTTTAATTACTGAGATCAAAGACAGAAATGTGATAGGTGCACCATCAAAATACAACTAAGATGCCTCAGGTCAATATTATTGTAGATACCTAGTCTGAGGTTTACTTGGGAGGGGTAGGGGGGAAATGTCATGCCACCAAAGCTTCAGTTTATATTTTAAAACAGTGGAATGTATTGGACCTGTAATGTGTTATTTTAGCTTTAATTCAGTTTTACATGGTTGCTGGCTATATTTTCTTGCTTAGTTTATGAACTGCAAACAGTGGAAAAGACTAATGATTAAGCTGGTGTTTAAACAGCGTAATCTTTGGTTTTCATTCCCTAGTGTAATTAACAAACTTGGATTTATTTATTTTTGTAACAAAAGAATAAAAGCAGACTGGGTACATCTGGGAAATATTCTGCTTCTTGGTAGCTTTAAATTTCTGTTTAGGAAAAAGTGAGATAATTTAGTTTTGCTTGAATAAAAAATGTTTTAAAAAGCATTTTTATATTGCTTACCTAGTAACTTACCTGTCTCTGGCTCTTGTATAAAAAGCCTTTGGCTAATTAAGCATATAAAATCGCACAAAATACACTGGCATTTCGGTAATCTTTGTTAAACATTCAGGACTTGTCTCTTTCTCCAATATGTAACAGGTCAATTTTATTGGTGGATAGAGAAGGATGATGGCAGGCAATAACCAGCTTTGCATTCGACGTTGGACTACCAAGAACGTGGCCAAGTGGCTGAAGGAAGAAGGCTTCTGTGAATATGTGGATGTTTTGTGCAATAGACACAGGCTAGATGGAATTACGCTGCTGACACTTACTGAGTATGATTTACGATCCCCTCCTTTGGAAATCAAAGTCCTGGGTGATATCAAAAGGTTAATGTTGTCCATACGCAAACTACAGAAGCAACATGTTGATGTCCTGGAAGAGCTGGGTTACAACAGCGACAGTCATGTTGGCACAGTGTGCCCAACTGTTGGTTCACTACAGGGTACAGATTGGTTTTGTAATGGTGAAGTGCCACGGGACTATGATGGACCAATTACTGACTTGAATGGTGATCAATATCAATATCAATATGCAAATGGCAAAAACAAACATTCTACCCGAAGACTGGACCCAGAGTATTGGAAGACAGTTCTAAGTTGTGTGTATGTCTTTATAGTGTTTGGCTTTACATCATTCGTTATGGTTATAGTACATGAGCGAGTACCTGACATGCAAACATATCCACCTCTACCAGACATATTTCTAGATAGGTAAGAAATTTTCTTTTGAAACAAAACAGTAACTTGATGGTTAAAGTATAGGCTGTCTTTTCTTCGTTTTCAAAGTTTCATATGCTCTTGAAGATGCCTCTGCAAAATAGTAATTAGAGTGTAGTAAACCCTTCTGCTAAGATCGAAATGTGTGTCAGTTAGAGGGATTTCATCTTCTCAGCAGAAAATAAATGGAGCTGTTGTTCTACCCAGTTTATATTTAATTCTACTTTTTAGCTAATCACAACACAAGAATTAATTTGTCCATCCTCGCATTCTAGTAAAAAGGGTGATGGTCAGCTGTCATAGATAAGCAGCCATATGCTTTTTCTGAAATCCAGATGCTGCTATGAAGCTTAACATGTCTTGATATAGAAAAAATTTTGATGAAGGAGTATTTTGGTCTGCCAGTGAGCAAGGAAATCGAAAGGGAATAGCATTGATACTGTATTTATGCTGTCTCTCCACTGTCAGCTTGTTGAAGATGGTTTAGGGAAGCTCTGAAGTAGACTGAATAGGCCAGTATCTTTTTTAACCATAGAGTACCTGTGTACTAAAACACTGTTGTGACCTACACAGTACCTGCTCATTTGTTAAAGAAAATACTCCAAGCAAAAAAGAGACACAACAACAAAGGTGAAATTCTAGTCATTGGCTACAGATTTAACGGGGGATAAATGCTCCCTTTGAGCAAGTGTACTTTCACAGTAGAGAACTTGTCTTTTAAAACTCTCTTAGCAGTTAAGATAATCTGTTTAAGATTTCAGTCTTTGTGGTCTCCTTATTCTTGCCAGTAATTTTCATTAATGGTTTTTGTGAAGTCAGTGGGGGTGTAATCTTTTGAGTAAGTGTGCCGAATCCCCCATAAATTTAGATAAAACTCAGCAAGGACGGACCACATCCAGTGGAGTGGAAGAGAGAACAGGAGCCTATGGCATTAGTGGATTTTGTTCCCAGGGCACTACCGCAGTATTCAGTGGGCAGGAGGATGGGCGAGGTCAGAAAGCAGCAGCTCGCAAAACAATGCGTGGGGATTACCACACAGCTGGCATTTGGGCAGAGCTTTGCTACCCCTTTGTATCAAGGGGAACACAAAACTATGAGAAGCAGCCTCTCTTGAAATCTGTCAATCTGTATTTTGGTGAAATTGCAGAGTGGAAATTGTTAACGGTGCCATATGTGTGCAAGAAAGGTTTACATTTTTTGAGAAGGAAGGCTAAAAAGTTTGCATGTAGTGATGATCATTGAAATCTAACTTTGAAAACTATTTTTCCTAACCCTTTTCTGTGGAGTTCTGCTTCATTACAAGTATTTAGGATTTTAGGCTTTGCAGCATTTCATTCGTTGTGTTGACATGGCATTGTTATAAGCATAAGCAGCATAATTTATGTGATGCAAGTTTGTGTCAGATTGAAAAAGGTTGTTGGGAAACAATGGTGGAGGAACAGATTGTGTTAGTAAATCACACATGTAAATTAAGAGAGCAATTTAGAGATTTTCTTTGACTTAGTGAATTCTGTGTAAATGCTGAAAATACATTATTAGAAAGGAGATAATGTAATTAAAAATTAATTCAAATTCTGTTTAATTCAGTCTAACAAAATAATTTTTGGTTGTAGTTTAAACTGTTGTCAGATTAACGCAAGTTAGTTTTGTAGTTAGAACTTTATATGCCTTTATTTTAAATAACTGAGGCTAGAAAGAAAAATTAAGCCTTTGAATTGTAAGTTTCTTCATTCTTTTTTTTTTTTTCTTTTTTCAGTGTTCCTAGGATACCATGGGCTTTTGCTATGACTGAAGTATGTGGCGTAATTCTTTGCTACATTTGGCTATTGGTTCTTCTGCTTCACAAACACAGGTACAGTATATAAAATTCAAATTAACTGGTACTTTGATTCAGAGAAAGGACTGTGACAAGAATTTATGATGATTGTTTAAAGCTTTCCATTTAATAAGAAGCTTGTAAGCTTCTAATATGTCCCTGTTAAAATGCATTAGGGAGGATTTAATCAAGAATGGTGACTTGTGAATCTTACAAAGGAGTAATCTGAATTTACTTTTCCACCGGATTTATGTGTAATTTCCTTCAGAACATATGTATTTCAGAGAGTTGTCAGTATATACTTTCATACTGTAACAATTTTGTGTATAAAAAATAAAATCCTACGAGAATGAAATTCCACAGGATGACTGTGCCAGCCTAGCAGCTTGCTGTCACTGAAGGGTAGAAAACCCTTTTGTGTGCGTATTTTAAGTTAGATTTTTACCAGTTTGTTGATTTTTATCAGTTTGGTAACAGAAGGCATGAGTGCCAAAGCTAGTACAAGTGTAGTTGCAGAGGAGTGGGGCTGTACTTTTTGGTGACAGTAGGCTTGCTACAGTGTCTCGCTCTGTCATGTGGAACCTTTACAGTACTACTTCAAAAAAAAAAAAAAAACCAAAACTTTTACTGTGAAACTTGCAGCAGTGATGAAGAGATTTCACGGGATTGAGTTGGGGTGGGGAGGAAATGTTTTTATCATAAATTTCCTGATTTAAAAATACAATATATTAGGATTCTTGCAATCGATTCCTATGTACTTTTCCTAGATCTATACTTCTGCGAAGGCTGTGCAGCCTCATGGGGACAGTATTCTTATTACGTTGCGTTACAATGTTTGTTACCTCACTCTCTGTGCCAGGCCAGCACTTGCAGTGTACTGGAAAGGTAAAAACTTAAAATGCTTTGAATTATTTTTGTTTCCATTTTATTTAAGATATGATTAACATTGCTGTGACCATAATGTTAGATTGTGTGTTTTGTAAGAACAGCATAAGATCTAGGGGTCTTAGAAGCACCTGCCACTTTGGAGATAGTTACTTGGGGAAGGGTGTTCAGAATATTTCACAGTGTAAATAGAGAGAATACATCAGAGAAGTGTGCGCTTAAGGTATGGACTTAATGAAGAAAGGCTGAAAGCGGAGTAATCACTTCTTTGTCTTGTTGGATGCACGGTTTGGGGAAAAAAAAAAGCTATTATTATTTTACCCCTTCTAGTAAGGAGTATTCCATAGAACATGGGATTTCATGGTTTTATACTAACTTTTAGTTACAAGAGGTTTGAGCTCTTGGAAGCCTGACGATGACACAATGGGAGGTTGAATACATTCAAAAAAAGGTGGCAGTCTCTGTATGTAAAGCACTTGCAACAAAATACTTGCTCTAAATTCCAGTGTTGTCAGAAGCATGATGAATACAATTAATAATTGTAGTTACTAATGTGACTCACTGCCACAATAAAATCCAAAGATGAGCTAACCTGCATTTTAGTAAAAGACCCAACATGATAAAGGGTGTTAAATGTACATAGTGCTATACCAGTAACTTTAAGGACATGCTGTTCAGGTGGTGGGGTACTAAAGGTTAATGTTGCTGTCTTTTAGTTGTATGGCAGTGTTTGGGCAAAACTCCAGCGGGCATTTGCAATATGGAGTGGCTTTGGAATGACTCTGACTGGGGTACATACATGTGGAGATTATATGTTCAGTGGCCACACCGTCGTCCTGACCATGCTCAACTTCTTTGTTACAGAATGTAAGTACAGAGTGTCAATATTTAAATGTCCTTAAGTGTTAAGAACATGTACTGCTTGCTGTCAACCAAGGGTGTGAGAGTGTAAATACTTAAATGTCCTTTACTTTGTTACTTAAGTGTTAAGAATGTATATTTGTTTGCTGCTTGACCTCCTCAAACAGTTCAGAGTGTAACATTAAAGCAAACAAATATAAATTCAGATTGTTGTGCTCTTTCTCATATTTATGACGGTGCACTTGCAGACAGGAAAGGAGCAGCACCACCTAGATTAATGGAAGGGTGAATAGGGCGTGTTTGAAAGAACATGTGAGCCAAGAAAATTAGAAAGGCTTCTAGATTGCTACTGGAAGAATACTAGGGAAGATATTTATGATTGTCTGTTCCTGTGCACTTCCCTAGGTATCTGCCAGTGATCCCTATCAGGCAAAATACTAGGCTAGGTGGGTGCATGTTTACTGTAATCCATGAAGGCAAAGTACCAACCCTCATAAGGAGTGAGAATATATGAAACAATAGTGCTCTTCTGTAAATGAAAGTGTGAATTGATACATTATATAGCAAGCTAAGATAATTAGTTTGAGTTCACCTATGATGGAATGACCGCAATAACAGAATAATGTGTGCTTCATGACATTTTTTCCCTTATTACATTGAAAAGGCATGATTTGCATTAAAAGAAGTTGGTTGAACGAAGAATTCTGCTTTGCATGGTCCTAAACTACTTTAGGATGCTCTGTTAATCCAGAAATGCATAATAGCTGTATTTGTAAAGGAAGTCATGAAGTGGTAGACATTTATAACGTGTGTGGTTGTTTTCATTGGATTTATTGGACCTGTAGATGTAAACAAAATTTCCAGGTGAAGACAGTAACTTAATCACATTTTTGGATGAAAAATCTGTGTAAAAACTTGTAATGTCTAGGCTTGGATTTTGTAAAGACCCACATCTTTGAGACATTCAAGGTTAGTCACTTTGTGTTTTCTCCTAGATACACCAAGGAGCTGGAACTTCTTGCATACCTTATCCTGGGTCCTGAATCTCTTTGGAATCTTCTTCATTTTGGCTGCACATGAACATTATTCTATAGATGTCTTCATTGCCTTTTACATCACTACAAGACTCTTTTTGTATTACCATACATTGGCTAATACTAGAGCATATCAACAGAGTAGGAGAGCAAGGATCTGGTTTCCAATGTTTTCTTTTTTTGAATGCAATGTTAATGGTACTGTTCCCAATGAGTATTGCTGGCCCTTTTCAAAACCTGCGATACTGAAAAGATTGATTGGCTGAAGAGTGTGGGGGTCAACTCAGATTTTTATGAAGTGTTATGACTAAGATCCTACAAGGCTAGCTGCGAGGGGATATAAAGTAACATTTTTCACTCCGTGGTCATCTCCTCCTTGTCTTGTTTCTTAGATTCTTAGCCATAAAATGGGCTTCCCATACTTCACAGGGATGTGTTTTGTTTTCTTATTGCTAAAATAGAGAACAATTCAGGGACCAGTAAAGGCTATCAGTGAAGCATGAATATGAACCAGAACACTGTTATCCTTAGTAAGGTTCTATGTGAATGTTTAAGTAACTTTAACCTCAAATATGTGCTCGTACTGAATATAATATACCCTTTACAGGTCCAAATAATCTCCGTTACCTGACATGCCAGCCTTTACATATATTGACTACAAAGTTAGAACTTTATGAAGATTTTCTTTTGAAACAGTCATAAATGTAACTTTCAAACAAAACCTCTGTGTACCTAAAGATTGAGGAGTACTGTGTCATGATGAGAAAGCAGTATAGTTCCTTGCTAAAAGGATCTCTTAACTGTTAAATAACAAGTCTTAAAGTATAATTGACAGTATAAATGGTCTGCATACAGGTTGCCAAAAATGAAAGTCTGCCTTGTGGCTATGCAGTGATGGGGTTTTTTTTACTGGGATCTTATTTAGTCTAGTCTCAGTTGTCTATATGGTTGTTCTAGCACTTGGAAGTTTTCCCTTTTGTGTTTAAATAAATGAGTTAAAGTAAATGCTACATCTACAGTAAGTAAAGTTAATTTAGCTTTAGTGAGTTTAAAGCCACAAAATAACTTTTGTGTGGTTTTAATTGCTTTATACCCAAACGTGTGCATGCTTTTTAGGAGCAGCTCTTTAACATTGGAAAAACAGAACAGTTATCATCATACATCTTACTGTCCCATAAATGGATGGGGAAAATGCATGTAGTAACTCTTTCAGGAAAAGTAATAATAGTGTGTATTGGAAATAGTCCTCTTATTGATGTATGTTTTAGCACTCTGGTGTCAACAATATGGTGAATATCTCTGGATATATATACACAGTATATTTGTTTATATATATAAATACATGCAGTATATGTTCTTCTAACAAGTATGAAAAGAGGCTAGCTCTTAAATTAAGTTGCTCATTTACTACACTGAAAGATAAAAGTATCATAAGCAGTTGAGTTTTGGTTGTTAAAAAAAAAAAAAGTAACAAAACACCCTCAAAAACCCCAAATCAATACTCCAAGTCCATAATGTGTAAGCAAGGGTCACACAGCTGGTGATCTCTTATGTGGTGGTTTGTAAGGGGACAATGCTAATGTGGGCTGTAGAGACTTGAAATTAGATTTATGCTAAATGAAAATTGATAGATGAAAGGTGCAAATCATAAAAATGGTATAGACTTTTTAATTTGGTTCTTGCAATTTCAGAATAGGTGGTATGTGCAAAAGGTAGTGTAAGTCAGCCTTGGAAAGGTACACGAAGCATTTCCAGCTTGGTGCAAGCTGACTTAATGGCCACAATGTACTTATGTTTGCATGGAAAAGAATCCCTTTGGAATTTTGCAAGACAGTTTTGTATCTGGAGGCTTGTAACCTACTGTGGGCTACTTGTCGATATGTTGTGTTCCTTTTATGTATCTGGAGCGTACTAACTTTACTATCTTCTGCTCTTTGTAGTATATTACTTTTGTAACTTAATTTAGCTCCTATTCCACAGGGGAATTGTGCATCTTAGAGTATCTCTGCCAACTGTATTGAGCACACATATGTTGTACTATCCTGCAGATTTTTATATTTGTAACATTCCAATCTTTTAGCAAAATTGCGGGTATAATACTATATTGTTCAATCTGCCATAGCCTAATGGCTCTTGCCAACCAAATTGGGGGAGTATGCTTATGCTTAAGAAAAAAAAAAAAAAAGAAGGTATTCTGAAAGATTTGAAGACTTCATTTGCTGTTCTTACCTTTCTGATTTCAGAAAGGCAATTTGAACATTCCTCTTGAGACTTTATAATCAAAGAGCTCTATTTGTTCATTTATACTTGCCTTTGCAATACAGACACAGTTATGAATGCTATTTTTTAAACTCTAGGAAACATCTGTTCTCAGGATGTGCGGGATTGTACTCTGAGTTATAACATGTGGCGAGGTATGCAATTAAACCGCAAAGCTGTTGATTCTGAAAAGAACCGTGTCAGTGCTAACTGGCATAGCTGTCTCTAAACTGAGAAATTACTTAGCAACTTAGACATGCAAGAGAATTTTCAACTACAGCCCAGTGTAACAATGTTTACATAAAGTAATTATTTCAATACTATTTTTTTAAAAAATGAAGTTCGTATACTTTGAAACACAAGGCTTCTCTCTTTGTTCTAATTTAATTTTTCAAATTCTGTTAAGTAAATGCATGTTTTAAATCAGCATTTCCTATCAGTGTTTTTAAAGGAAACTTGTTCTTTTGTGCTGTTTCTCTTGATGTTAAATATCTGAGTCCAAGATAAGAATATACAGAGGTTGGTTTTGTGAGCATTGAAGTGGGTTAAAGCATTGTCAGGATAATTGTCATCTTCTGTTTTGGAAGTTATTTTGTTTGTCTGTAAACACGCAAGAGGAAGGCTTGAAATTGATAGAAAACAGAAAAATCTGATTTTACATGCAAAAGAGCACAGTCTGTAAAGTTGGTAATGTAAGCTTTATTGTTAATTAGATGGAAACAAATTGCAAGTAACTGACAGGTTTAAAATTCTGTACCTCCTTTTTAAAGAGCTAGTGTTTTAGAAGCATTTTGCTGCTTCTCTGCTGCTGACAAGCACTTTTAAGTAAAGGCAGCAGAGCATTGTTGGGCCTTGGATTTAGTGCTAAATACATTCAGGCTTGTCCTTCTCCCTTATGTTTATGCACCGGTCTTTTTGCTGTCCTTTAACTTGCTGCACCTATTTTGTGCAAAGTCATCTTCTGTGGTCTGTGGGAGCACACACATAATCTGAATTCAGAGTAATGAATAAATTATTGTGTTATGTCAGCAAGTGTATGTGTCCAATGACATTAGTCTAGTACTACAAAGTGCATAAACTAATCAAGTAGAAAAGTTTGAATAACTGGCTATACAGAAGAAGGGGAGGGTCACATTTTTTGATAGCTTAGCAAATCTGGTAATATTTGAGACTTGACAATAGTCTTGAGCTCTTCCTTATTATTATCAGTTTGGGGGTATGTATGCGTATACCTGGAAGTGATACATATAGGCACTCCCCACTCCTTCTTTTTTTTTTTTTTTTTTAATTGTACCTTATGACACAGCTTCTTATAATAGCTTTCCTAAACTTTTTGCCTTTAGTTTTTCCTTTCTGGAAGATCCCTTAAAACTAGTGGTTTTATGGCATTACACCTGCCTACAGAAATTAGACTTTCATAGATGTGTGTTTTTAGCAAATTCTGATGACACTGACAAAAGCTTATGTAAGGATCTTAAAGCACTGTTCCTTCAGCTGTTCTTGAATGATACAGAAAGCTTCCATATATGTTAGTTATCTTCATTTCCTCTGGCAAACAAGATAACACTTATACAAAGTGTTGGTACAGAAATGTAGATAGTAATGAAGTATTTAAATGTCCAAGACTAGCAAGAATTGGATCCTGTAAGTATACTGCTTGTGATGAAGCAAATGATATGCTTAACTTTAAGCAAATCACTAAATACTCTGACTTCAGTGAGGGTTACCATTTTACTTTAAGCATTTTCTTGGATAAGGCCAACTGCATGCTGTGTGTGTTATACTGCTACAGTAATGAGAATAGGTAATGTCACTTTCTTTTTAGTTTTCCCTGATTTCCTCCCCCCATCTACTATAGAAGAAAATATTCCAGTAGAATTTAACAAAAACTACTTAGCTGGGTTCTGAGAGAATAAATCTGAATAAAAAAAAAGCTCATCAAAACCTTGATAGTTAGCTCCTTCAAGAAGCAAGAGTCAGTTAAATGATTTGAAATTAAAAATTATTTTTCGATGCAAGCATGTTAAATCAAGTTACTTAAAAGTATTGAAACCCTTCAATGAGGGTAAAAGCACAGGTTCCTATACTCTTTTCTGTATGGCTGTCTCATGTAGTGCCAAAAAGTATCGAAGGGGAAAAGGGGAGTGTTGAACTCAGACGTCAGTACAAGACTTTTGCAACAGTTAATATCTCCTTGAGTTTTTTTTTAAGCAGTGCTTAAAAAGCTTTAGTACTATACTTGTTTGTTACTACTTCGCTAGTTTTTTGATGTATGAAAGTCTGCTAGGTTTTCAAGCACCAAAACTATTGTGGAGCTGAGTCTTAATCATTAGATATGCATTTGAAGAAATAGCAGATGTCTTAGGTGAAAAAGGAAAAGGTAGGTTTTGTGGACCTGGAGTATAACAAAAGAAGAGTAAGCTATAACAACTATGATAGTTTTGCATCCTGTCCGTGTAGTTTCTACTGAAGAGTTAGGGAGAATTTGCAGTAATCTACAGACAATATTGGTTTTTCTGGGTTTTTTTGAATAATCTAGGATACTTTTATAGAAACTTGACCTGTAACTACAAAAACCATCATAGTCTTGTCAAGATGGAAGTATATTTGGCAGAAGTCCTAGCAGTGAGCCAGCTTACCCTCTGAATTGTTTTGCACATGTAGACTTTGTCCATCAAGGGTTGATTGGTAGACCACTGATGATTCATAGAGACTACTGTTTCTGATGTATCTTTTGACATTGTCACTATTCTAACTGAAACAGTATTTCTGGGGAAAAAAAAAGTAGTTTGGAGTGAACCTACTGATATTGTCTTCATTATATGAAGAAAAACACCCAAAACCCCCTCCCAACCCCATAAACACTACAGTATTGTGAACACTGAACTTTCCGTGTGGCAGTATCCTGCACACTTACCATTTGTATCTTAAGAAATTTGCAGTGAGTATTATGTACATAATTCAGTGACATGCACATTTTTAAAGCCAGTTTGTAGTAGGTGTGTAA